CATTAATTGGGGAAAAGACAGTCTCTTTAACAAATGGTGCTGGCATAACTGGATATCCATCTGCAAAAAAATGAAACAAGACCCATACCTCACACCATGCGCAAAAACTAACTCAAAAGGGATCAAAGACCTCAACATAAAATCTAAAACAGTAAAGATCATGGAAGAAAAAATAGCGACAACGCTAGGAGCCCTAATTCATGGCATAACTAACAATGCACAAACACCAGAAGAGAAACTAGATAACTGGGAGCTCCTAAAAATCAAACACTTACGCTCATCAAAAGACTTCACCAAAAGAGTAAAAAGACAACCTAGAGACTGGGAAAAAAATTTTGGCTACGACAAATCTGATCAGCTTCTAATCTCTAAAATCTACAAGATACTGCAAAACCTCAACAACAAAAAGACAAATGACCAATTAAAAAATGGGCAAAGGATATGAACAGGCACTTCACCAAAGAGGACGTTCAGGCGGCTACCAGATACATGAGGAAATGCTCACCATCATTAGCCATTAGAGAAACGCAAATCAAAACTACAATGAGATACCATCTCACCCCAACAAGGCTAGCATTAATCCAAAAAGCAGAAAATAATAAATGTTGGAGAGGTTGTGGAGAGACTAGAACACTTATACACTGCTGGTGGGAATGTAAAATGGTACAACCACTTTGGAAATCGATTGGCGCTTCCTTAAAAAGCTAGAAATAGAAGTACCATATGACCCAGCAATCCCACTCCTTGGAACATATCCTAGAGAAATAAGAGCGGTCACGCGAATAGATATATGCACACCCAGGTTCATTGCATCACTGTTCACAATAGCAAAAAGATGGAAACATCCTTGGTGCCCATCAATGGACAAATGGATAAACAAATTATGGTATATTTGCACAATGGAGTTCTGTGCAATGATAAAGAACAATGATGAATCTGCAAAACATCTCATAACATGGATGACTCTGAAAGGCATTATGCTGAATGAAATTAGTCAGTAGCAAAAGGACAAATATTGTATGAGACCACTATTATAAGAACTTAAGAAAAGGTTTAAACACAGAAGAAAACATTCTTTGATGGTTAGGAGGGTGGGAAGGGAGAGAGAGGGGTATTCACTAGATAGTAGATAAGAATTATCTTAGGTAAAGGGAAAGACAACACACACTACAGAGGAAGTCAGCACAACTGGACTAAACCAAAAGCTAAGAAGTTTCCTGAATACAACCAAACACTTTGAGGGTCAGAGTAGCAGGGGCAGGGGTCTGGGGACCATGGTTTCAGGGGACATCTCGGTCAATTGGTATAACAAAGTTTATTAAGATAATGTTCTGCATCCTACTTTGGTGAATGGCATCTGGGGGTCTTAAAAGCCAGTGAGTGGCCATCTGCGATGCATCAATTCATCCCAACCCACCTGGAGCAAAGGAGAATGAAGAACACTAAAGACACAAGGAAAATATTAGCTCAAGAGACAGAAAGGGCGACATAAACCAGAGACTCAATCAGCCTGATACCAGAAGAACTAAATGGTGCCTGGCTACCACCAGTGACCACCCTGACAGAGAATACAACAGAGAGTCCCTGACTGAGCAGGAGAAAAGTGGGGTGCAAAACTCAAATTCTAGTAAATAGACCAGACTTAATGGTCTGACTGAGACATGGCTCCCAGACCTCTGTTAGCCCAGAACTAAAACCATTCCCAAAGCCAACTCTTCAGACAAACATTAGACTGCACTATAAGACATAAAATGATACTCGTGAAGAGAATGCTTCTTAGCTCAAGTAGATACAGGAGACTAAATGGGCAGCTCCTGTCCGGAGGTGAGATGAGAAGGCAGAAAGGGACAGGAGCTGGTTAAATGGACACAGGAAATCTGGGGTGGAAAGGAAGAGTGTGCTGTCACAGTATAGGGAGAGCAACTAGGGTCACATAACAATGTGTGTATAAATTTTTGTATGAGAAACTAACTTGAACTGTAAACTTTCACTTAAAGGACAATAAAAAAAAAAAAAGTTGCCATCAAGTTGACTCTGACTCATGGCGACCCCATCCATGTCAGAGTAGAACTGAGCTCCATAGGGTTTTCAATAGCTGATTTTAAAAAAAAGAAAAGAAATAAGCCTTCGGAAATGGAATATTTGCTACTCAGCAGACTGAGGTAAAAACAAAGCAAACAAACAAAACCCACCACCACTACAACAAAAAACGCCACAACAATCCACCAAAAGTTAGTAGATTTAGTAGGAGTTGAAAGAGTCCTTCAGCAATGGAAAGAATATTTGACCACAAGGTAGAGGTATCTTTGAGACAACGGAGGAGCAGAGTTGCTCTTTTGACCCCTTTGTCTCTCGTACTTTCTGTGTGATGTTTCATTTCCAAATATTAGAGTCTCCTATCTCAAACTGGGATTCCGAGTCTGGCTGATAGCATATGTGAGAAAGCCTCTGGATCTCTTTGAACCAAGTTATTTGGAGCTTTTGGATCTTTGGCTAGAGGAGGAAAGGATTTTGGTGCTGGAGACTGGAGTAAGGACAAAGGATCAAGGAGGAGATGACATAAACAATCTCAGTCCTACATGCCTTTTTTGCAGGGTTGGTGTCCCAGGAAGAGAGGTATGGGGCCAGAAACTGATGGTGCTGTCTTTATGAAAAGCTTTGTGAGAAGCTGCATCAGGGCCCAGGTGACAAAATATGGCCCTCAGGTGTGAGGCAGCCCTTCTTCCCTTTCTGCACATAGCCCAGGACGATGCTGGCTGTTAGCAGATTTCTAGAGCTGCCTCCTGTGGCAGACATTAGCGTTCTAACCGGAGAGGACCTCTGGAAGTGCCACTGTGAGGTTCCTTCAAGTAGGTAGTGGGCATCACCCAAGGGGCAGGAGAGCGTGAGAGCAGGGACACAGCAGATGTCCCTGGTTTGTTAGCACTGGCAAGAGTACTCTTAGGCCATTGGGATGGAGGCTGCACTGAGCAGGAGAGAAGCTATGGGAGGAGTCCTGCTCATGCAAAAACAGGACTATGGGAAGCTTATCACCTTCGGCCTGCCTAGAACTGGCCTACTGGTGGTTGTGATTAACTTTGTGCTGTAGTTATGCATGTTCTGCTTTGGGCAATTGGTTCACTCAGTAAACCAAAAAGGAAAATGGAAATGTAATATCATCTTACTGATGCAACATGATTGAAGGGTGAAGATTAATGAAAAGTCT